AAGGAGAACCGCGGGCGCTGCTCCGTTAGAGTCAGTCCCCCGGGACGGGCGGCCCGGAGCGGTGTCACCGCCGAGGCAGCGCTGACACGGCTGTGCTGATCTCACTGTGAGTTTGCCCTTGCCGAGAATGTCGGACGAGACGTCAGGTCTGTTGCTGCTGTCCACTCTAGGCTGTATGAAAAACTATAGCCAGGTCACACTGACTGGTTGTTCAAAGGCCTTGCGGGAAAACGTGCTGTAAGGAGGATTGTCCAATTAGCATCAGAGCCAGGAGAAGAAAAAAGGTCCTCACAGCGAGAGCACTGTCAGGCACAAAGCTGCTCGGGGGGTCACCAGCCCAAGTACAGGTAATGGTTTAGATACAGCCTCGGGCAGCCAGAGGTGGCACTAAGAGGTCAATCAGCCTGTGCTGCTGCGTTCAAGCCACTTTTAGCTCAGAGCTGGTAGGTGGCACATTTAGGACTGCTCCTCCCTGCAGTTCCTGCTCTTAAAGTTGAGTAAATATCTACCCATTTGGGGGATTTGCAGAGAAAAGTAAGATAGTGTTGAAGAACAAAGTGTTTGTGAATTGACTTGCGTGATAATACATCACTGATCCAGTAATTCCTGGATTGTATTTGAGCTTCTGATGATAGGGCATAAACACTACACAAAGAAGAACTAATATTGGTTGCTGTAACAGTAAGTTGTAGCAATAACATCTTTGCTTTTGGATCCTGAAGTTCACTTTCTGTGCTTCGGTCTCTTGTGGAGTTCTATCAAAGAGATTACTAAACTCTATTCTTTAGAAAAAACACCTGCATAAATCAACATCCACACTGTCATTCATTGCATAGTTTTGCAAACTGAATACCCCCACCCCCCAAAAAAAAATCTGAATAGGAAGCAGCCATGGACAAAGGACACATGAACTTCTACACAGTTTGTTAACTTTTGCCTCTGAACCTGCTCATTGGATTGACCCATGTATCACATCAGAGCCTGCTGCGAGTCCTGAGTAACACTCTGAGGAATACAAAGTAATTTGACAGAGCAAAAGATTTGGATCTTCTTAGTGGCAAGGAAACGGGAAGATGGGCACCTGCCTTGGGACTTAAGTCTTGGTAACAGTGGTATTATGTGCCTGCAACAGCAAAGAATTGAAACGCTGCACTTTCTATTGCAGGATGATTTAGAAAGCATATTAGTGTTGCTGGCTAGTGCAAACGTCATAAGATGCTCAGCTGACTCTCTCCCTCTTCCACCAGTCTTGGAGCTGCATGGCTTTCTCCAACCCATGTGATACCACTCAATTGAATGGTTAGTTTTCTTTATGCTGGCTTTGGACCATTTTTTTAGCTATACCTACATCTAAGAAAAATCTCTGACTTAAATGCCAGGTCTGCTTTAAAACAAGCCCTAGTACTAAACTCTGTCACATGCACATGTGTGTACACACACACAGACACACACTGTGCTTTTCTCAGGACTGAAAAATTTCCTGGTGCTGGAAGTATAAAGGTTTACTCGCAGAAAAGCAAAAGATCCCCTATTGATAGTCAAATACCATATTTTTATGTCATTCTAAGTGGCCTTGCTGTTCCAAGACAACAGCTGGCATTTGCTGCTGTTGTTTTAAGTGGGGCAAACCCAGATGTCTGTGGTTGCCATTTTAGCCATGGAAAATCAATCATATGGGGCTTTAGCTGGCACCTGTCTGTCTTTCTGGGAGGTCACTCAGTCTCAGTGCATTTAGTGCCATTTACATGGTGCTCCCTACAACGCTTTTCAGTCCTACTTTAGAAACATAATTGGGTTAGAATGGTTGCCAACAAAGAACCCATCAATGCCAAACACAGCAACTAACAACCACCCATTGTGACAGGGCCCACTATTGTTTCCAGTAGATTGTTGTAAGATACAGGTAAAATTGCCTCAGAAATTATGTGACTGCACACTGGTTATGGAAATATCAGCATTTTTTATAGGAATCTCATTATGAACAAAATAATTCAACAGTACTGTAAAAGGGGAGAATGTAAAATGTAACTAGAAAACTTTCTGCCTTCAGTCACTTAACTCTGCATTCCTTATGCACATTTGATTTTCAAGGATTTAAAAAATGCCTGCCATTTCTACCTAGGTGCAGCTGTAGGTATAACACAGCCCTCCCTGAAAAACAGGATTTGGTACTGCCAAATGCTTTTAGCATACAGGAATGAAAAATCTGTGTCGCAAGAAAATTTCAGAGTAGGCTGCCCCAATGCAACAGATTATAGAAAAAAGGGTTTCCTTTTTATATTGGCCTTTGGTAAAGATGCTTTAAACTTTCCGTTTGCTTTGCATGACAAAAACAGTGACTGACAACTAAGATAGCAGAGCTGGCAGCTCCTGGGCTTGATCTACACCCCAAAAAGCACGGATGCATCTATTGGTATAGAGAGCCTTTGATTTACAGAAAACATTGCAGTAACACCTGGATTCTTTCTCAGACTGACATGAACCTTAGGCAAAAAAGACAGGGCACAATTCTGAAGACATTAGTACTTGATACAAAGACAAATCCACACGAGCTCTTTCACTGATTTTTCTCTGCATCTGGTCCTTTCTCTGATATCAGTAAGGATGAACTGTACTGAACTCAAGGCAGTAACAGTAGAGAACCAGGTCTGTAAACATTCTGTGTTTTTTTCTGTCTCCTTCTTTCACCCTACACTGATGAATAGCTGTTCGTAAACCTCACTTCAGATCAAACATTCATCTCCACTGGAATACCTTACAACAGAGCTCTTTTAACTGTGACCCCTAAGCCTGATACAAATAGTGAACAGTAAATAAAAAAATTGCTTGCCAGAAATTTATAGAATTACAGTTCCTTATCACTCAGCCTAAGTTGTTTAAGGACTAGATATCCAAAATAACTTGTTCAGATTTTTGCATTCATTAGATATAAACATAATGTAAGAACAAGCAGAGTAAGTAAATAAACAGAAGATTTTTGATTAAAAAAAAAAAGAAAAAAGTATTAACATATACATTTATACATGTTTAAATTGAAGATTTTTTCATCTGGAGGAATAGAGTTGAGGATTTTTTAATCTCTGTCTTCTGTTTCTAGTCTTTGAGGTAGAGAAGATTTCCTTGGAAGTTCTGCAGAGTCCTGGCAATCTGTGTCCAGTAATGTTGTCCCCATCTCTCAACGAACCGGATTGGTGCTTCAAGAACATGGGATCTCCCCTCAGAACTCCAAAGAAATTAATGTGAATTTTACTTTGTCTCATTCAAACGCCTTTTACAGTTCACACTTTCAACAAGATTTCATGCAAGGAAAAAGCAAACCAAGTCCTACTATGCTACCATTGTAGTCCCAAATAAACTAATCTGCTACAGTCAAGGTAATAAGAAAAAGAAAACACATTCTTTATGTAAACAGACAGCTTGTTGGAAGTCGTAATTGTTGGGGAATGCTTTTGTAAAATACAGGAAACCTCTGAATTTGCTACTGAAAAACTCCAAGTTCAGGGAAAGAAATTCAAGCTTAAAAGCAGTGAAGCACTTGAGGAGAGAGAGCTGCTGCTGGCTTCTGTGACTAAGATGAGGTAAGGCTGTGTTTTGTTTAAGTTAGGCTGGAAGATGCAGCCTGTGCTTAGTACATGTCTTGGCTTATGCAGCTCCACTGGAAATGCTGGCCAATATTCCTGTCTTCATTGCAGAGGAGAGAACAGCCAGAGGAAGTCTGCCTTGCCTTCCAGCTCCAGGTTGAATTTGTAAGAGACTTTTTTCTGGACTATGTGGCAGTCAGCTGCAAGGGCTGTTTTGGCATTAGATGGGGTACATAGGCTGCAGAGGAAGTGCTGTGCTGGCATCTAAGGGGCAATGGCACAGGGGCAAGATTTGCTTGCTGGGGAGTGTTTGCTTCCAGTCACTGGAGGGACAGCTGGGTAAAGAGGAATGAAATCAGAAAAGAAAAGCCTCCAGGAACTGCATTAAATATTTAAGAAGGATGTTATCATTAATAGCATTAAACACATACTAAGGTTAAGAAGGCTGAGAAGCCAAGCTTTGTCTAAGATTCTTATGTAGTGCCTCTCACCTGTGCAGGGGCAGGATTATATATTCATGGCCTCGTTGGGATGGTCAGTTTTGCACTGAAGCCACCTCAGAGCACAAACTGAATTGCTTATCCCACCCACAGCTCCAGGCAGGTCCCACCTCAGGAGTGTCTTGTACAAGAGAGACATGGAGCTTCTGGAGGGGGCCAGTGGTGGGCAACAAAGATGATTAAGGGATTGAAATAATTCTCTTACAAGGAAAGGCTGAGATAGTTGGGCCTGTTCAGACTCAAGAACAGACAACTGAGAGGGATCCTCATCAATGTATGTGAGTATCTAACGGAGGATGCCAAAAAGATGGAACCAGGCTCTGCTCAGTGGTGCCAGTCAGTAGGATGAGGCAAAGGGCAGAAACTGATGCACAGGAAGTTCCACCTGAATACGAGGAAGAACTTCTTTACTGTGTGAATGATCACACACTGGAACAGGTTGGCCTGAGAGGGTGTGAAGTCTTCCTCTCTGGAGATACTCAAGAACCATCTGGATGCAATCGTGTGCCATGTGCTCTGGGATGACCCTGCTTAAGTGGGGAGGTTGGACCAGATGACCCACTCTGGTCCCTTCCAACCTGACGCATTCTGTGGGGAGAGACGTCCGATCCCTGCGCTTCCAAGAGAGCCGGAGGCACAGAGAGCGGCACGGGGCCAAC